TATATATATATATATATATATATATATATATATATATATATATATACACATACATACACACACACACATTGTGGCAAAGTGGAGAAGCTGAAAGGGGAAAATAGGACAGAGAATAAAAAACGAGACAGAAAGATGAGAGGAGATGGTTGGATAAGAGTTGTTGATGGAGATGTAAAGGAATTGCTCCATCTTTGCATTCCTCAAAGGATAATGCATGTGAATGTGTATGAGTGTGTGAGAGAGAGAGAGATTTGAGCATGTCATCTGTCATATTATTGGTTTTAGGCTGTGCCAAGGCCATATGCCTCACTGCAGAGCTGCACAGATGAACGAAAAATATGTCAATGTCTCCTGTGAAGTTTACCGGGTGCAGTATTGACATGCGTCGACATCAAACAGACAGATGGTAGACGATCCAGTCTGATCAAAATCAATGCAGGCTATTTCTAAACACTTGGTGATCTAAAACAATTTGCACATAAACTGCATGTTGCTCTGCTTGCTTTTAAACTGATTTCCTGCAGAACAGTGAAACTGCAAAATAATTAGAAATTCCACACATTCCATCTGTGCTTTTTAGGGGATCTCTAACTTAGCTAATAAGTGAAATACTTTTAATTAGCTGTGTCCCTAAGTACCTCAAAGCTCCTATTGTAGGTACACTATGGACTGCTCACCGAGAAGAATAAAACATGAATAATGAACACTGGTGTTGATCGCCAGACTTAGTTCAGCGATGCAATCGGAACCAGTTTCTCTTTTTATCTCTGATCATTTCTGCCTGTACTCTACCTTCAGGCCTCTCACATCTGCTGACACAACTATTTGCTTTCTTGCTGAGAGTCAGATGAGGAGATTGATACCACTCTCATACCTGTACGCTAAATATGAAACTAGAGCCAGCAGCCAGTTAGCGTATAGCATGAAGACTGGAAACATGGGGAAACAGCCAGCCTGACTCTGTCCAACGGTAATAAAATATGTCTCTAAAAGCTCACTACTTAACATGTTATATCTTATTTGTTTAATCTGAATATCTAAACCACCAAACTATTCTGTGTTTAATGGGGCACTCCACCAATTTCTCACATAAAGTTGAGTTTACTCGTCATGGAGTACTACATGCTTGTAAAACCATGTCTTCGGTGGCTCTGCAGGAGCTTTGTCACGTCTGAGAAAATAACGCTGATGATGTCACAGTGACGTCATCAGGGTTATATCAGCTCGGGCGTACAAAGTTATAAGAGAAACCCCCAGTTACAAACTGGGGTCATGGAGTTTTAAAGACGCCGGCGTTAACCAGGCAGGGTCTAACCTCTGTTGTAATGGGAAATGTAAGATTCAGAGTTTTCGGAGTTTGAGTACTTTAGGAAACAAAGGTTAGGATATCTCAATCTCTGCTGCAAAAATTGTGACCCCTTTTTTAAAATAATCGGCTGCGAGTCCCTCAACTTTATGGAAGTGCAATAATAAATTGCTGGAATAGCCCTTTAAGATTAACTCGGGCAGTCACACGCAGCTGATGTTTTAGAGCAGACTGGTGCTGGTGGACACAATTATTACTTGCATATGTTTTAATAAACTGGCTGAGGTCCAATTTGGCTGTAATATCTCCAGTGGTTTCATGAATTGGACAAGATGACATTTTCCATAGCTTGTTTTAGTTAATACACACTGATAATTTGTTCCACAGGAAGTCACAAAAAAAACTTCAGTCCAGTTCAGCCAACTGGCATCTTTTCCAGTTTGGACCTAAAAAAATATCTGACATCACCTGCAGTGGTGGAATATAATCCTTTACTAGCAAAAAAAAGAGTAAATAGACCATTACGTAAAAGTCCTGCATTCAAAATCTAAGTGAAATCACAGAAGTATTTAAAAGTACATATTGTATACTGTTAAGAAGTTGAATCTATAACACTGTTCACAGTAATCATTAAATATAGTGGAGAGAAAAGTCAAATAGAATCAGCATAGCATTAAGTTGAAATACTCAAGCTGTACAATACTTGAGTAAGGTACTGTGAAGATGTGACACAATAAAGTGAAATTTCTTTGGAGTGACTTTCAGATTGCAGCCTGTAACAATGATTCTTTAGACTCGTTATGATTATTACAGCCCAATATATTGATTAGATTACCCAACTGTGACCATATAAAAAGACACACCCATTACATGCACAGAAACAATAGTAGTGAAACACTGCAATGCACTACCACACAATAGTTCTCTGGATCATCACTGTCCATGTGTCAACTTGTTTAAACCAGACTGCCTGTGGAAATGATCCTGGCTTGTTGCTACATACTAAATGCCAACGATCGTTAACCAGCATTTCTTTAGGCCACCCTGTGGCGTGCTGCGCCTTGACTCGCCAAACATTCATTAACAACATCTAAATATTTCACTGAAACGTGTAAGTTTTAGAGTGCATTCGCACAAATTGTGACTTTTACAATCTTGAAGAAGACCTGTCAACATATGTCAGGTCTGTTTACTGCTCATGTTTCTTTCGGCCATCTATTTGTTGTCTTTCGCGGCTGTATGGTATCAACTCACCTGTGGCAGGTAAAGCAATTTGCATGTTGCTCCGCAGCAACATCGCCCAGAGAAGACAGATGCCGAGTAAAAAGCCCTTCATCCTCTTTAAGCAGCATTCAAAAAAAAAAAAAAGATATGAAAATGATCAGAAACAGCACAGGCAGGTGAAATAACCAACACCTGGTCTTCCTTTACCGGTTCGCATTGCAACAGCTCCCTGTCATAGTCGGTGCAGTCTGTGTGTTTATGCACCTCTGTCGCCTCTTCCGCACAATTTTACCGCTGCACAGGTCATCCAAACACCTGCGTCATGCCTACCGTAATGTTCGCGTGGTGCAGTAAGATTGCTTCCCTGCCAGTCCGCTAAACTCTTTCACTTTGTAGTCCATTTTACTCCTCCTCCTGTAGCTGCTGGGCCAGAGCATAGCATCGCTGTCACTCTTTGCTGGGGTTTGGTCTATAATGGGACTTCCTATGTTTTCTTGATGACTGCTGTTTCCTCCTGAACTGTAATTTCCTCAGTCCAGGGCTCAGCACACGTATTCATAGTGTAAACAGACAAGCACCTGACCAAACAGACACCCATGAAACAGACGGTGTCCCAGAGGAACCAAGGAAATCTCATCACAAGCATGCCAGAATTAAATCTCGGCTGTGGCCGCAAGAAAAAAATGATCTCATCTGTTTTCCCGCTATATTATCTTGTGCTGGAGGAAAAACAGTGAAACTGATCTGGTCTTCATTTTCTCTTGGGACACCCTGTAAACCCCTCAAGCTGACCACAAAACTGTACCCAACTTTGGGAACCAGCAGCAGTGCACCCATTTGGATCAAGGAACAACAAGGAAATCCATTCATCCAGTCCATTAGACGGTATTAGAGAAAATACCACAGCTGCTACTTATCAGAGAGATAACTTGGATCAAGTGCAGGCTATTGCATGCGTTTATTGTAGTCTGTGGTTGTGTGTGTGTGTGTGTGTGTGTGTGTGCCAACAGATTAAGATAAAAGGCTTTATCAATAAAGGGCACTTATTGAATTTCCCTCTTTTGAGATGAGAGTGCCCTGCATGTGCCAAGACATGCAGACGTTCGTTACTCCGCTGGAAATAATGTGGATAATTTGCTTGTATGTGACAGCGTTCTTCATTCTTTTCACTTTTTGCCAGTTTCTCAGACGGGGTGTGCAGAGTGCAGGATGGGACGGAGGTGAGATGGAGAGAGACAGATTGTAGAAAGATAATGTTTTAAAGAGGACATATTTTGATTACCTTATGATACAAACCACTTTTGCTTACATACCAGGCTGGTATATCTAGACTGTCTAAGCAGTAGTCTATTATAAATTCCTCCTGTGCTTGAAGCATGAAGAGTTACATGATTAACAAACTACCAGCGCTTCATTCTTCATCGTGTAAAAATACACTGCCTGGTTGTGCACAAAGTAGGGAGATGTGCTATTAAAAAGCCATTATATTAACACCATGCTGATGAGCTCTGCCTCTGCTGAGGAGTCCAGCTGATTAATTAACTTCCAGATGAATGTGCTGTCAGCATGCCACACAAATTAACAAGGATTGTTATCACAACAGCACGGAGATAGAATAATATTGACCACCACAGACAAGAATTAAGTGGTAACCTATTTCCCTTTAAGACTGAATGCTTTCATTATGAGCATGTGTTTAAAAAAGTGGAGTGACCGCTTGAGCTTAGTGTTTCTAAGTTTGAACATTGGTGAAGAAGCCCTCAAGGACAGCTTTGAACCACAACGTCTCCCTTGTAAAAGCAGGGGAACCTAAATATACAGAGCACTCACAGGTATTGATTAGAGCCACTGACTCAAAGGACAGAGGAATAAGGATGGAGCCTTACTTCCTTCTTCGTCTTTATACTCATCCACTGTCTGGTGCATGTCCGGGCCTGCGACATCACCAGCCCTCCCTTTAAGATGGAAAACTGGAATTTCCCATGAAGAAGAGTTTAGCAAAGTCTTCATGTTCCCATGGAAAAATGCTAGCGGCTCCATGAAAACTGTAAGGTTCCCCTGTGGACAAACAAAAGTTATGTTTACATCACTTACTTAAAAAGTCTTCGTGCATCTTTGTGCGAGAGCCTGACACAAACCAACAAGACACAATCATAATCAGTGTTGGGTAACGTTACTTTTAAAAGTACTACGTTACTGCCATTACAAAGTAACTAAGTTACGTTATGGCGTTACCTACTGAGTAAAGTTACCTGTTAAAGGGCTTTTGTGTTACCAAAAAATATAAACCCCTTTGTGATTCCTTGTACATGTTGGTTATACTGTATTGTCCAGAAGGCGCGTAGCCAACTGTACGCCTACTTTTGAATGTATTGACTCAATCGTCATTGCATAGCTTCTATGGCATCTGTAACTTTACATGCAGGAATGACAGAACTAATGCCCCTTTTACAGCTCTTCACTATATCGAGGTGGCAAATATTGTTTTCTTCTGTCAGGCACTGTTTCCGCCGTGTTATGCATACTAGTTATTCTATTAATGATCTTATGGCAAAATGGAGACTACAATTGATATCGGTAGCATCTCCTCCACCACGTAACCAGCTACGAGCTCGTTAATGTTCCGTGGCGTACCAGACGAAAGCCAAACTAAAAGCTAGTCGTTGCTGTTTTGGAGCTGTAGCGCCAGCGTTGTTTCCTCGTGCTTCTTCAAATTTAAAGAGGCACAATTTGCATTTCACTGTAATATTCTTGTAATGCATTGCTTATCTAAAAATGTAACTTAATAACTGATTACTTGAATTGCAAATTAATGCTATCATACAAAAAAGTAATCTGAGTAATGCGCTACCCAGTACAAAACATCAGCACATCTTGTCGAGCAACGTTTTATGAAACATTCTGTCCTTGTTGATGTATTATTTCAGCATGAGCTGTTAGAATAAACTGTCTAATGGGTGGGGGAGCTAAGCCATGCAGTATCTTATAAAGTAAACAAACATTGGTCATAAATATATAAAATGAAATAAATATTTCATTAGTGGTATTTGTTTTTTACTGTCTAGTGCTTTAAAAACTTGTATAAAGGCTGATGCCTGGCCGAGCGTACTTCAAAATAATTCAATTCAACAGTTTCATACGACTTAGTACTGACGAACACAGTATGCAGTGTCATTCATTTTGCAGGTATTTGGTCATAAAGGAAAGTATTCGACAAATTCTAATTTTGACCTGATGATGGTGAAGATGAAGGTTAAGAGATCACCAAAGCTGTGAGGATTCATCCTCTGGAGACCATTAATCTTTGGACCAAATGTCATGGCAACCTATCAAACAGTTGTTGAGATATTTCTGTCCTGGTCGTGGTGGGTGGACTGACTCGCTGACTGCCACACCCCCATAATGGCTGAAAAATACAATAATTGATCTTGGATGGTGAGGAGCTGAGGAGAATCAGAAAAAGAATAAAAAGAGAAAATGCAAGAAAGAAAGAGATGCTGCTTTATAACTTTACCAACTAAAATATTGTTTATCAAATTAGAATTGATGCATACATACAATGACGTAGATTGTGAGGGAAAAGAGAAAGAAAACACAATTTCTCTCCAATTCACATGCCCAGAGTGTGAAATGACTTCTGTGTGTGTGTGTGTGTGTGTGTGTGTGTGTGTTTGTGTGTTTTTGTGTGCGTCAGAAAGCTGGCACAGAGTAAACTCGAACCGACAGTTTCAGAGCTCTGTTGGGAGATGAGTCCGCTGGAATATATAACACTCTTGTCAGTCTAGGGAGCACTAACCTCCAGCTGCCTCATAATGTACAGAGAAGCACTTCATGAATGCAACAAAGGCTGCGATCAGTGGATTCTGAAAACATTCTTGAATTTCATTTATCCATTCATGTGGAGGCGGATTTGTTCGACTGGTGTGTAACAGATGATGGCAGGTTTCTGATTCTGTCCCCATGAGCTGAAGTTGTGTAAATGCTGTGTGAATACTGATTCAGCAGCATTTACACTGTTGAGATCCAAATCTTCAATCAACTTATATTTATTTTGTATATTTTTTCGACTATAACTACATTTCTGTAGTACAGCAGACAGTGGCAGTTTTCTGAACTGCTCTGTTATTCATGTTTTTGACACCACAAACTAACATTAACAGGTTAGGCAGAGAAACTCATCTCCATATTTTAAATATACTTTTAACTGGCAGAGCTTCCAACTCTGCCAGTTTGATGTGTCAACTTCCAGGTGTTTCAGCAGTTCAATGCTTTTGCACTTTAAGATTTCTGTATTTTCTTTGCTTGTAAATTCATTTCCGCTGTCAGCATTCACACGCATTTTCTTCACGGAATGCATTTTCTAGTTGACTTAAATGTCTGCCAGTCACATTTCCAATACGATTATAGTATTACAGCGGCCATTTACGAGGAAAGACGAAGGACTTTGTGGAGGGAGGCAGGGAGGGAGGCTGTGACAGAGTCAACTGGGGGAGAAAACTGAGACATAGAGGTCAAGACTGAAGCGAGGCCAGCACCAAGTAGTTCTCCTCTGACGCAAGGCCTGGAAAATGAGCCTGGAAAAAAGCAGCAGAGCCAACGCTGGACAGAGAAATGTATTTGAATACAATCAATGTTTGTGGGAACCTCTGGGTGCTACATGGCCTTTGCCATGACATTTGTTGAAAGCACCAGCGGGAATATGCTGGTCATACATTCATGTTTAAATGTCATTTATAAATTCATTTATTTTCTGGTTTAAATTTGAGGCTCAGATGAGGTTTGAAAATATGTTTAGGGACAAACAGTCAACGACACTTATTGAACATTGACTTTTTGTCGCCTGCTCTGTTTCTTCATTTGTGTGTTGGAGTTGCAGAAAGTGTGCATTGTGGTTTGGGTCCAGAGGAGTCATGGAACGCTGTTATGAAATACTGAAACACACATTCTTCCCTAATGGGACAAGTGCAGTAACATGAGCCCAGTTTCCAGTGAGAGGAAAGTTCAATATAAATGACACTTGCTCTCTGGTTTTTACTGACAGTGAAATTCTATTTCATAAAGACAAATTCAGTTTGAACCTTTTATCTACACGCTTCAAGCCTGGACGGTTTATGGAACATACATGCAATTTGTGTCAAGGGGTAGACAACTAGACATTGACCCACAAGCTCACCAGCTAAACAGGTTTTAGATCCTTTAATGCATTGATTCCCATCATTTCTGTAAAGGATGAAATTATATTCACAGTGACTTGAAACTTTCATTGATGGTTAAAGATCAATGTGAACATCCTGCTAAAGCTAAGCTTTATTGTCATACTGTGAAAATCATTTTAACTGCAAAAAAAGCTGATTCACTGCGATGGATGAATTGCCTCAATCAAGTCTTTGCAAATTGATTTTGTAACGATGTCATTGTATACTAATGTCTTCTGTGGAGGTGGGAAATCT